AAGCCAGTCGAATCCGACTCTAGGGTTGCGGTGCTCATCTCCGTTTCAAAGCCGAAGAGCCAGCGCTGTCCGAAGACGTTTCCGTGGTCATGTGGCCGGCATGACTAAACACCAAGGCGCACGGAACGCTGTTACCTTCCCACCGAAGTGGTCCCTATTTATCTACTTGCAATTTCTTGCTTTCGAACTGCTAGGTTGGCAGTTTATAAATTGTGCTATATTAACTTCTTAGCAGTTATGTAAATAGTTATAGCAATGTTAACATTATTTACAAAAATTAATAAAAATATAAATATTTTAAAAAATCTCCAGGTATTTCCCAACCAAGAGTCGCCAACGCTGTCACAAAACTACACACACACACGTTCTGCCCTAATAACTGTTGCCCACCTGACTCATCAGGGACCACAGAAAAGGACATTAGAAAGAAAAGGAAACCATGGTCAGAATCTGAGAGATTGTCCACATAGGACCCATTCCAAAAGGCTCAGGTCCAGTGTCCCCTCTAAGCTGAATTAGTGTGAGCTAGCTGACAGTTTTTTAGACTCCGGCTCACACATTTTTGCCTTCGCTCGGGAAGGAGGGCTCCAGAGCAAACTGATTAATGCAGCAGCCAAGTCGCTCGCTCACAACTTTAATGCCAGCAGTTTGCAAAGTAGGATTTCTGCTCAGGAGAGTCCACAGCTTAGAGGGAGCATTGCTTCGGGTCTAATCCAGACTGATCCTCAAAAGCCAGAGGGGGGGGGGTCCTTGCACCAGCAAAACTCTTACTTCTGGGGAGCACTTTGACCGCCACTCGGACTTTGTCCTTCCAGTGTCCTTCGTAGACCTCTCCGAAGTATCCGGCGCCCAGCTTCCTGACCAGGTGGAACTCCTCCTTTGGCCTTTCCCAGTCGTCCCAGTGGGGCATGGCCTTTGGTTCTTGCTGGAATCACAAAAGGGAATGAAGCTTGTCATGGAGGTTTACTCTGAGGACTAGCAAAGCCCCCTGAGGTTTTCAGGAAGGGTTTCATTGTTTTTTTTTAAGGGACACAATTAGCCCCTCAATTTTCACGCAGGCTTCTGGGTAGTTGGCTGGCTTATATTTTACAAAGGACCAGGGGTCCTTTACAAAACGGCGTGAGCTAGATTAACAGAGAGAGCATTAAGCTGCAGTGAAAATATGGGAGGTGAAAGGTCTCATCTGATGAAACTTTAATAAGTGAAACGGTTTAATGAGCGCTGCACCGTCATTAAGATATTTGAGACCATGCACTCCAAGGGAAACAGCTTTAATGTTTTGTAAAGGGAACGACTCTAACGATTTGTTATACGCAGGACACATTAAAAAAATTTTTTCTCTCTAATTGTTTAAACCACGACTTCGTTATTCTCTCACGGCTGTTTTCCTAACAAGCTACAGTCCGTCCCATGATCTCTCTTCTTTCGACACCACCTGGAGGTTGTCAACCCTACATCTTAGTGCTTGGGGGGGTTGCAACTAGTGTTGTGACAAAGAAGGTGGGGTAAAGGGACACGGGCAAACCAGTTTGAAAAGGCAAACTCAGCTGTTGTAAGCATGATCGAGGTTTATAAGATGATTCATGGGATAGAGCAGGTAGAGAAAGAGGTACTTTTCTCCAGGGCTATTTTTGTAGAAAGTCCAGTAGAAACTCATTAGCCACTCCCAACAGCAGAAATTCATTAGCATATTAGGCCACACCCCTGACAGAGCTGCTCATTAGCATATTAGGCCACACCCCCACGTTACCAGAAGTGTGCTCATCCAGCCACACCCACCTTTTGCTTCTTATTCTGTTTACCTTGTTTGTTGTCAAAACTCAGGGCTTTTTTTGTAGCAGGAACCCTTTGCATGTTAGGCCACACACCCCTAATGTAGCCAATCCTAATGAGTTCCTGCTGTTGGGTGTGGCCTATTATGCTAATGAGTTCCTGCTGGGCGTGGCCAACTCGGGAGCCAGCCGGAACTCCGTTCCTGTGCGTTCCTGCCCAAAAATAGCCCTGCTTTTCTCCTTTTCTCACAAGACATGAACTCATGGGCACTCCATGAAATTGCTGAGCGGTCGGGTTAGAACGGATAAAAGGAAGTCCTTCTTCACCCAAAGAGTGATGAACACATGGGATTCACTGCCACAGGAGGTGGTGGCGACTACAAGCATGGACGGCTTCAAGATAGAATTAGATAAGCATATGGAGCGGAAGTCCATCAGTAGCTATTAGCCACAAGGGATAAATAGGGACTCTGGGGCAAGTGATGCTCTGTATTCTTGGTGCTGGGGGGGGGGACGACAACAGTGGGAGGGCTTCTAATGTCCTGGCCCCGCTGGTGGACCTCCTGATGGCACCTGGTCTTTTTGGCCACTGTGTGACACAGAATGTTGGACTGGATGGGCCTTTGGCCTGATCCAACACTGGCTTCTCTTATGTTCTTAAGCACCTGGTCTCCACACTTACCTTGTGACATGGGCTTGTGAGAGTCAGGCCGTGGGAGAGCCCCTTCTCTTTGTAATACTCGACAAGAGACAGCAGATCAGGAAAGGACCGGGTGGCATTCATGTGGAAACTCCCCTGTCCATTGCGCAAGATCTTGTAGTGTCTCACCGTTGACTCATCTCGGACTGTGGAATCCGGAAGGAGAGAAATGACAGCGGGGCTCAAAGGTGTGTGCGTGCAGGGGAAACCCCAAACCGTTCCACATGTTCACAACTTCCTGTTCCCAGAACTGCCAGTATAAAAACTGGGCAATAAGTCAACTCCTGAACAACACAGCCATTTGGGTCGGATTTCCCTATCTGAGAGTCACCTCTTGCCTGATTAGAGTGACAGTCTCCCAGTGGGGTCTGCAGATTCCCTAGAAAGATACCCGCTCTCCAGGCGACTCCCCCTGGAGAAAATGGCTGCTTTGGAGGGGAGGACAAGGTAATGAATTAGAACGGGGTCTCTAAACATTTTGAGTCTGCGGGCCTTTTTAGAATTCTGACAAAGTGTGGTGGGTGTTGCCACAACATGGCTGCCGCGGGAGGCTGAGCCAGCCACAAAATGGCTGCCACAGCTTCCCTTCAGTCACACAGTGAAGATCCTTGTGTTGTGATGGACGCGGCTCCCAAAGCAACATTTTTAAAAATCTGCAAAGCACATCAAATCTCCAGCGGCCAATCAGAAGCCATGCTGGTCAAAAGCCCCACTAGTTTGGTGTAGTGATTAAGAATGTGGACTCTAATCTGAACCAGGTTCGATTCCCCACTCTTCCACATGCAGCTGCTGGTGTGACCTTGGGCCAGTCACAAGTTCTCTCAGAGCTGTTCTCTCAGGAGCAGTTCCCTCTCAGCCCCCACCTACCCCACAGGGTATCTGTTGTGGGGAAGGGAAGGTAAAGGAGATTATAAGCAGCTCTGAGACTCCTTCAGGTAGTGAAGGGTGGAGTATAAATCCAATCTCTTCTCTCTCTTCCGTTCTGGCCACTTTTTAAACGCACTTGGCAGACACCAAGAAAACTATTGGTGGGACCCCTGCACTAGGCATACCTTCTGTCTAAGTTATGGTACAACCAGCATCTACTTCAGAACTTAGATGAGAGATTCTTCCAAGGAAAAGTGGGTTATTTACCACATGATGTTATTTACCTCAACCTCATGAAGAGCTACCCACTATCAGTGTTCCCTCTAAGCTGAGTTAGTGTGCGCTAGCTCATAGTTTTTTAGCCTCCGGCTCACACATTTTCATCTTAGCTCAGAAAGGATGGCTCCAGAACAGACTAATTTACGCAGGAGCCAAATCGCTTGCTCACAAATTTAATGCCAGTAGCTCACCAAGTAGAATTTCTGCTCACAAGACTCCACAGCTTAGAGGGAACATTGCCCACTATTACAGGGACAGGACATTTTTTCTCCAGGTTGTTGGCAACCCTAATTAGTGTTGTGGGTGGGAAGGTAAAAATCTCCTTTTGTCTCTAGTTTAAGATGCTATAAATTGCAGTTTGAGTTCTGGGGTGTCAGGATGGGGTGCTGAACCAATAAGGCTTTGCAACTTCCTGGAGGCCTGGAAACAACAATTGCTCTCCAGACTACGGACATTAGTTCCCTTACAGAAAATGGCGTCTTCAAAGGGTGAATTCTATGGTATACCACAGATTCCAGGTGAAATCCCAACCCAAATTCTTCTTTCCACAGACATCCCTTCTCCCCAAACCCCAGAAATTTCCAAGACTGGAATTGGCAACCGTAGCAAAGGCAGCTTGCCCTGGCAAAATATTCCAACTTCAGCACAACTCTAAAGCAAAAGGTGTTTCCCCTGAGTTTTGTGTCAAGTTGCTCTTCATGGAAAAGCGGGAAGTGAAACTTCCTTACCTGACAGAACATATTCCGCTCCTTTTTTCTCACTGATACGGATGAGAAAGGCCCCCGTTTTGGTCTCTTCAGACAGCAACCGATGTACAGATTCAGAACGGGAGATCTGCCCGAAAAACCATCTGGAGGTGGGTGGGAAAAAAGACACAAGCATCATAATGCCGGAAGACGACAAAGTCCACCCAGAGTGGGGCTCTGAAGGCGAAAGAGCCGGGCATGGCAAGGTATACTGCCTCTGTACATGGCAGTTCCATCAGAAAAGGTTGTCCAAAAATAAATGGCCACCTACCATTGACGATCAGAGATACACTGCCTCTTATCAAGGACGTTTCTTTTACTTATTGTTAATTTATTTAATTTGTACCCTGCCTTTCTCTCCAATAGGAACCCAAGGAGGCTAACAGCCTTCTCCTCTTCTCCATTTTATCCTCACAACAGTCCTATGAGGTAGGCCTGGCTGAAAGAGTGCGACTGGCCCAGATACTAATCTGACACTCCTAATCACTACATCACACAGGCTCTCAGTAGCTAAATGCCTACATAATGTCCCATGTACCAGGTGTAAGGGATATTTGGTGATGGCCCTGCTGGTGGACCTCCTGTTGGCCCCTGGGATTTGGCCATTGAGTGACACAGAATGTTGGACTGGGTGGGCCATTGGCCTGATCCAACATGGCTTCTCTTATGTTCTTATGTCTGGGGCAGGGATGCTCTGTATTCTTGGTGCTTGGGGGCCAAGAGCGGGAGGGCTTCTGGAGTTCTGGCCCTGCAGGTGGACCTCCTGATGGCCCCTGGGTTTGGGCCACCGTGTGACAGAGTGTTGGACTGGATGGACCTCTGGCCTGATCCAACATGGCTTCTCTTATGTTCTTATGTCTGGGGCAGGGATGCTCTGTATTCTTGGTGCTTGGGGGCCAAGAGCGGGAGGGCTTCTGGAGTTCTGGCCCTGCAGGTGGACCTCCTGATGGCCCCTGGGTTTGGGCCACCGTGTGACAGAGTGTTGGACTGGATGGACCTCTGGCCTGATCCAACATGGCTTCTCTTACGTTCTTATGTCTTAAAATGGTTTTAGTGCGAATTGCTAGAGTTGGCAGATGACACCGTCCCCACCTCTGAGTAGGGAAGGTGGATACTTCTTATCTGTGGTGAACAGGAAAAGAAATACAGGCACGTGAATCCTAAGGTGCCATTTTACCCACTGCAGAGATGTAAGGTTGCCAGCTACAGGCTGGTTTTAGTGCGAATTGCTAGAGTTGGCAGGTGACAGTAGGGAAGGTGGATGCTTCTTATCTGTGGTGTACAGGCAAAGAAATACAGGCACGTGAATCCTAAAGTGCCATTCCACCCATTGCAGAGGTGTAAGGTTGCCAGCTACAGGTTGAGAGGATTGGAGGAGACTGGATTTATACCCCGCCCTTCGCTACCCGAAGGAGTCTCAGAGCGGCTTACATCTCCAGGCAACAGTTCCCCTGGAGAAGATGGATGTTTTGGAGGGTGGACTTAATGGTATTATAACTCACTGAGGTCCCGTCCCTCCGCAAATCCTTCCCTACTCAGGCTCCAGCCTGAGAGTCAGTTTGGTGTAGTGGTTAAGTGCGTGCAGGGCTTTTTTTTGTAGAAAAAGCCCAGCAGGAACTCATTAGCATAATAGGCCACACCCAACAGCAGAAACTCATTAGCATATTAGGCCCCA